AAGAGGAGGAGGGAAGATGTGTGTTATTGTGGAGGGAAGAAGCAGCTCAGCAGAAGGCGTCTTGTATTATCCTGCATAAATTACAGAAAGACACACACACACACACACACACACACACACACTTCACAAACACACACACACTTCACAAACACACTGGCGGATATTAAAGGAACAGTTTGTCGGACAATTAGGTGATATGGAGACTCATTAGCGTGGAACGTGACGGCCAACTACACGTCTGACTCTGGCACCGTGACGACTAAAGCCTCAAACGTCCAGCTCGCTGTTAAAGGAACATTCTGTCATTTTATTTTCTAACGCTGTGGTTTTATTTCTGTAGATTTGGACGCTGATTTTATTTTCAGATGAGGTTTGGTTTGGTTTCAACGTGCTGTAACGTGTCACATGGAAAGAAATCAGAGTCTATGAGAATGTACATTTACTGTTTGTGTGAGTGTTGGTGGAGGAAGGACTCAGGTCTTTGTCTTCAGTATAATAACCAATAACCACAGTGTCAAAATACTCTGTAATAAATAAAAGTCATCCAGTCATAACTGCACTTATTAATGTACAAAAGCATCAAAATATACAAAAAGTGTGAAAAGTAAAAGTACTCAGAACGGCCTATTTCAAAAAATCATGTATATTATTGTATTAAATTATTGATGCACTTTAATGTTGCAGCTGGTGAAGGCGGAGCTCATTTTAATTAACTGCTGAGGAGTTTGGGAATTTGTGAACAGTCGAGGGTGCATTCGTAAATTCAGTCTGACGTTCTACACCAAAATGAGAGCGCTGCTGTTCAAAGAAACAGAGCGTTAACAATGTTAATGACACGTTAGCTTCACTTGGTGATCTGCTGCTCTGAGAGTGTGGTGCTCTGAATAACTGAATGGTACCTTCCCACAGTGCTCTGAAATTACAAATAGTCCGGTTCATGCCAGAGTGCGCTCCAGCAATCGCAGTGAGTATTGTTGAATACACCCAAAGTATCTTAATATTGCCGTTGAGCTGAAACAAGTATCCCGTACAGATATGAGTACTTGCATCATATGAGTAAAATGTATCCGTACTCGTTCTCATCCCCAGTCGTCACATATTGGCGCTTTATCCGTGGACTTTCACATCTACGAATTACGCGCCAGGTGCGCCTGCTGTTGATGTTCCAGGATGCCGTCATGTTGCATTACGTGAGTGTAACAATTAATTTTAATAGACCACGCACAACAAAATTTCATGACTTATCCAAAACTTTCAAGGATTTTACTGAGTCCATGACTTTTCCAGGTTTTGCATGACTGTTGGGATCCTGTTGGATGTTTTATTCTAGAGAACGTGGACACTTCATGATGTTGTGTGATTTAAAGAAGGATTCATCTGTTTCCACAAAGAACATGTGAGAACGTTTTGTTCTTCTGACACGTTCTCATCCCCAGTAGTCACATATTCTTCACTTAAGACTTTCACATCTACATAAATGCACTCGGTATCCTCCTCCGTCTGTTGTTGACGATACAGGATGCCACAACCAACCAATGCTGGGACATCAAAAAAAGTATGTGATTAAGTTTAGAAAAAAACATCATGGTTTGTCTCTACATTCATACAGGAAGTGAACACCGTGCTCCTGGGTAAAAGTCCGGGGTTTGTTGGACCCATCTACCTCCCCTCCTGCCGACCCTATAGAGACTTTCCAGCTCCTTATATGACCTTGTTACCGGCACTATTTCAACCTGACGCCATCCAGCAGTGTCTCATCCAGCAGTGACAGGTGCTGACCAGTGGCACAACACTGTGAAAAGTTACGTTCAGCGCCACCTGGTGACATATCATACGGTCCTTTCTTGGTCAGCTGTGTTTAATCTCTGGCTCTTGTTATCAAAAATAATTTGAAGCTCAATTCTGAGTTGTTTTGTTAAAAGTTTTCTAATAAATAATAAATATATATAACTTCTGGTTACCCCCTCACCTACAGCGGGATATTGGATTTTCTCTTCAATATGATTAAGAAAGAATTCCATCTTAACCGTTTCTCTAATTACGTCTTTGATCCAGTGAGCAAAGGTAGGTGGGTGTGCTTATTAGGCATCTGGCATTGGCCTTCGTCTTACATACGTGGGGGCAATAGGAGCACCAAAGATGGCTATGTATGGGCACGTTTCTGAGATTGTTTTGAAGATCAGAGACCAAAACTCTTGAAGCTTCACACAGGACCAGGACACCTGGGCATGAGGAGAGGGAGATAAGTCACATTGATTACATGAGGGACCAACATCCGGGAACTATTTAGACATTTTCTGTTTTGTCCAATGGGTGTGTTGCACTGCGTTGTACAATGCCTCACACACACTGAGGAGGGATTAACTCCTTTTAACATGGAGTGCCTTATTTTCTGTGTAATATGTTGGCACAGATCATCTTATTTTACCATAAAACTTTAATTAAAAGCCTAGTCCCAATTAAACACATTTTGACAATTAAAGGCCTGTCTCTATTAGAGGCCTGGTCTGGTTGCCAAGGAGTTGGTATTATTATTTTATAGAAGTTCTTCAGATGTATAAAAGCAGGTTGTTGGCGACCTCAGATTATGTGTCCATTCCTGGATTACCCTGTAAATTATTCCTATTCCTTCAGTCTGTGAGGGTCCTCGGATCAAAAGAATCAAAAGGGTGTTTTCATAAAACTTAATCTTAAGTTGTGAGGATTGTTTTAAAGGATAAAATGGTGTGTTGGTGTGTCGGGTGCTGTAAAGTGAGAAGTATACGTGCTGCGTGGCCAAACGTACGCATACACGGTGTGCTGTGCCTGTGTGTTTACTTGCTGCAGCACGGACATTCGTCGATGCAGCCAAAACACCTGATACTGGTGGTCTCCACTAGGGGCAGACTGCAGCACTCAGACACAGAGGTTGCGAAAAGCGAAGAAGGCGGTGACAATGTATTTCTGGATAAACACAAACATGGACACTCTTGATGAAGAGGAGATCATAATTTTATTGATGTTAAGATCTCGGCAGAGGAAAAGGCGTCGTCTCCGCTGCCATCGGAGATGGTATGTGCGGCCCCTTAACCAATCACATGGGGAGTTTGTTTCCCTTGTTTTACCCATGCGAGCAATCGATGAGGAAAAGCACAGGGAATATTTCCGCATGTCCGTCGATGCTTTCGATGCCATTGTGATGACCTCCGACCTCACGTTCACAGTCTCTAGGTATACTTGGCATGAGCGCCTCTAGTGTTCATGTCAATATTGCATCTCGAGTACGCATCATGCTACCTCGCAGCAAAGTGTGCAGTCTAAGCGCCAAAAGACCGCAAAATACATGTGGCAGCCAAACGTGCGCGAAAAGTGCACGCGCACGCGTTTCGTGCAGCAAGTATACTTTAGCCATAACGTTCTGTCTCTGATGCTCTCTCTGTCGGAGTTAGATCAAATGAATGATTCATAATTGATTTGTTATTCAAAGCCTAATTTTTAAACAAGTAATATTCATACTGGTTTAAATAATAGGACACTGACAGCAATATTCACATAATACATTAGATGCACTATTACTTAATATAATGCACATCACTACTCTTCAATATCATGTTCTCAGTCATGTGCAGTACTATTTCTCATTGTTGTATCACATTCAATATAACATTGATTATCAGTGCAGCAGTCTCTTTCTCCACCATTTTAGTATTTTTTAGTTACTTTTGTACTTATTGTACTCTTATTGTTACTCTATTAGGCACTGTTTTTTGCTTTTGCTCCTTGAAAACACTGATATCTGGTATATATTTTGATGGATATTTAATATTCTATAGCTCTTTAACTGGGCCCAGTGAGTGACCCTGACCCGGGGAACCCACTGGTTGTCTGTTGGTGCAGGCCGTGAATTGTTAAAGTTGAAAGAAAACTTTGTTTTTCTCTCATATCTCCAAGAAGAACAGAGAATTGAAAAAAAAAGTGAAGAAATCAAGGTCCACGTTTCACAACAGTAAAACTACATCAAACCATCTGTTTACAAACTCACACAAAGCTCATGCAGAATAATCAAGTCTCATTTATCGAGTCGTGTGATCAGGACTTCACAAACATGACTTTTCACGAAACAGTAAAATTTAAAACACATCAGTACGAACAGGTTCATGTGCAGCTGAGGTGTTTCAGCATAAATTCATGTGTTTGTGACGTCCTGATCATCTGACCGGACAAATGAGACTGTGATTATTCTGCAGAGATGTCTGAGAGTTTGGAAACTGTTGTTTTTACATAGTTGTGTTATTGTGAGTGTTCACCTTTTTGGACTCTTCGTTCACCATGTGATGCAAAAGAAAAGGTTCTTTACAAATACAAGGCGACACATGACGAGTAACTGACACACATGGTTATTTAGTGGGTGAAGTGTTCCTTTAAGTTGATCTGGAATGAAGGGAAAAGAAAAATCTGATCAAACTAAACACCTTCAGGTTCAGTCCTGATCAAACGTCTCTGACACCGAACTACCTCCTGTTTGATGACCTCTGACCTCCGTCCTGCTGCAGCGTGTTAACAGCCTGAAGTCTGAAACACAAACGACGTTCAGCAGCATATGTCCTGTTGAAACACACGAGCCGTCGTCCTGCAAATAACTCTCATCAAACAACAACATCGCTGTGAAAACACGATGCATGCAGCGTGGAAAACAATGGCCGCCTTGTGTGTCGGGGCGAGCTTGGCTCCGCCGCGCCGTGAAATATGTCACGGCAACATGTTCGGCCGCCGAGTGGAAGTGAAGTCGACGCCTCCGGTTCTCACAGTACGAGAGTAAACTGCAAATGAATCACAAGTGATACACAAAATAAAAAAAACACTGTGTACGACTCACAAACACGACGTCTCAGAGAGGTACTCTCACACACACACACACACACACACACACACACACACACACACACACATGCTGTCACACTCGCTGTCGTATTTAGGCCCAATTACAATCAACAACTTGTTTTTTTCTGTGTGCTGCAGCTTCACATCTCAGCCTGTAACAGTTTCAGGACATCACACGACGTGTCACACATGACATACGCTCAGTTTTCGAAATTTTATCAGGACTTTGTGTTTATTTTTGTTTCTGGGAGGCGTCAGCTCCATGTGTCGATTCAATGGTTTCTAATATCTGGATCGACTCTGTGTTGGGTCACATGTTCAGTATTACCATGCACACACACTGTAGTCCCACACACACCATCCTGCCGACACTAACACTCACAGTACACGGGACGTATCATCATTCAGAGAATCAGACATGTTCTGTAAACTGCAGGTTGTGTGCTCAGTGTGGGTGAAGTGTCAGAGAGGACATTAAAAGTTTAATTCAATTCTCTGTAACTTTCAGGTGGAGTTGCTGTTTTTAAATCTAAATGTTTGCAGAGTGTGACAGCAGTCAGGATCATGCCCCTGCAGAGCTGGAGAGCTGCTGATTTAGACATGCGTATGCTCCAGTTTCATATGTCATTTTTCAAAATGTGGCCAATCAGAGGCTCACAACACCGTCAGTCAAAAACTTAGCAGTTTTTAATTCAGCAAATCACTTAACAGCAGTGGGAGAGGTCAACATTTCAACTAGTTAGCTATGCTAGCACTAGCTAACATCTGTGTATCAACTCAGAATATAATACTATAATATATAATAACAGAATATAGTAACTTCAACCACTGCTCATTTTAGAGAGACAACCGCAAGAGCATTTGGGTTTTTTAAATTATGGGACACTTAACAGACAATGAATCAGTTGTTTGTTTCGAGCTGCCAGCATTAGCTAGCGTAGCTAACACGCTAGCTAAGTTAGCTGAAAAGCTGTCTATTTCCACTTCAAAATGATGAAAGAAAGTTACAAAAACCTTGCAGTCAGTTGAGACTTTGTCGAGGGTTAACGTTAGGCCTTTGCGCACTGAGTCTGGTTTTGTTTGGTAGGTAACTCCAGCGGAGAGAGACAGAGGAGGAAATGTGTCTTTTCATTTTGTCTCGTGTTGTGAATTTCCACAATGAACAGAACAATAAATCACATCAGAATCAGTGTGACAGGTTCCTGTGTGTAATGACTTTTTTTTTTAGATGACTGATGATTAAAGACAAACATCCACAAAAACGCACTCAGTGTGCAGAGGCCTTTAGAGCGGATGGACCACAGGGACAAGTCCATCTGTTCAGAGGACAAAGGCACAAAATTCCCAGGTAAGGAATGACAAAGTCCAACGCTCCACATCCAGGGGTGTGTGGACACTGTGGGAAAATCAGACAGACCCCACTGACGCCCCGCCCTCCCTCTGGTTCCTGTAGCAGAGGAGCAGATCCTGTGTCAGTGGGTCTGATGGAGGCTGTTAAGGAGCTCAGAGCCAGGACACTGGTCATATTTTTCTCCGGGGGTTTCGTGTCCCTGTCCTCTGGACAGGTGGACTTCTCCCTCCAGACCATCCATTCTAGCACTCATCGAAGTCAAACTCAGGGACATGTTGTGTTGCTCTGGCATTTAGGCACATCTGCTGCACGTCTACATTAAAAACAATTAATTTGAGGGTGCAAAAAACGCGGGTGGTGTTTGTGCCTAAACCAAATCACGTTAGCCACAGCAATGTTGAAATGTATCTGCTAAAAAACAACGTACTAATGTGACCTATGTGACCCCGCTTTGCAGAAACGTACAATACCTACATTTATTTTCTGGTGATCTAGCTGGTTTTAGTTGTGGTCCAGTTTTTTTGTACCTGGTCCCTGGTTTGTAAAACCAGGCAGAACATGGATCCAGGACCTGAAACCAGGACCTGAGGGTTCCTCCAGGTCCAGGTCAGACAGTGCTGGAGGTTCCAGGTGGTGCAGAGCTGCTGTGTTTCCTCTGTTGACTCAGTCGCAGTGATTTCCACAGATCTGAGTTCAGCCTGCGGTTCAGAAACAGAGTTCAAGTGGGTGTTAACAGCTTAAATAAACAGTCTCACAGTCAGAGCCGATTGTTGCCTGGAGACACGTCAGCGGGGATTCCTCCTTTCTTTTCTCTTGGTTTCTATGAGAATGTTGTGTTGTGTTGTTCAGGGTGACAGTAAACAGGCTGCCGTCCTGTCTGCTGCACACAGACGTCAACATAAATAACTACTGTTTGAAGCTGACACTGTTATTGTTGTTTTTATCAGGCTGACAAAATAATATGAATGAATGTAAAAAGATTATTGAGCCGTCACCTCCCTTCAGCCTGCAGGAGACACCGTGAACTCATACAAGCCGGGACCAGAACATTTCAGGGTTTAGCCGAGTCATTTCATGGAGCATTAACTCTTTTAAATCATCAAAACTTGACCATGAAAATATTTTAACAGAATTAGCTGAATTATTTGATTCAGACGTGGCTGGAAAATCTCAAAAATGATATTGCTAACATTTTATAAAATGTTTCAGGGTTTTAAAAGCTCACAGAGTGACTTTTAACGGGTCAAAACCTGCAGTGACGTGGGCGTTAGATACCGACACACAAAGGCACCTTTCGTGGCGTGATGAAATGTCCCAGCTGGCTGCAGAGTGTAATATTAGTGGCAACAACCATGGTGTAAAAAGCGAGAAAGTTGCTATAGGGCTGGGAAGACGGGGTCCAACAAACACCCCACCTTCACCTGAGAGCCTGTTGTTCACTTCCTGTGTAAAACCAAAAGTCAATGGAGTTATTTCAATGACAACATAGTGAGCTAGTGTGTGTAGCATACTGTGGTAGTGATGCATGTTACACGATGAATGTCACATGACATTACATACAACTTTTGTAGCTTGAACTTAAGAAAATAAACTTAAAAATTAGGTGTTTTACTGAAAGTTTATTTTGAAGGTGACTGTGCATATATTAAGCAGAGACTGTACATTTCATGTCAAAATGGAAATGAATTTGGAAAAGATACAACGTGTGCAGCAAGTGTAAATTGACACGCGGTCCCAGAACATAAAAAACAGACACAGGAGGATACCTAGCGCAACATATTTTGCCGTTACGGTCCACTGACAAAGCAGCAATATTTGACAAGTTGGGATGAGAACATGTTTATTTACATCAAAAGTTAGAAAAAAAAAAAAAAAAACTGTGTTTGGGACCTCGACAGAAACAGATTAAGGCCCAATCCCAATACCCCCCCTTGTCCACTACCCTTGGCCCTCGAAATGAAGCAACGAGGGGTAGGGGTTGAAATCTTTCCCTAGGAATTAGGACACCACTCACTACGTCACCGCGTCGATTACGTTCACGCATACGTACCTATTTTAAACAGGAAGCTGCGAGCCATCTGCATTTCCAACCGGCATCTACGATGGAGTCTCCAGTTGAGTTCATCCTACCGATTGCGTTTGCTGTATTCATCATGCTTCGTTTGATGAACGACAGACGACAGGGGACTTCTGCTAGCTAGCTAACCAGCTAACATTACGAGGCAGCATAGTTATACTAGCTGGCGTGTTATTGTAATGTGAAAAGTCAGACAGTTTTTCAAAACAGGACAGATGACAGACGCCAGATAGTGCGAGCTAGCTAGCTAGCTAACAAGCAACCTGACGACGGGAACTATTAGCTATGTATGAACATTTTTCCCCGTCTCTTGCTCGGTGGTAGCCATGGCGACGTCTACCCCTCGCTGGCAAGTCAGCATCTGAAATCCCTCGCTTATCTGACAATGTTAAATTGATGATTTTAGTTTTTACAGGAACCCTGAAACGCAGCTGTTAGCCTGCTGCTAACGCTCAGTGTGCTCCTCTGTAACTGACCAGAGTGGAAACAACAACCTGAGACTTTTAGTTCCTGCTGCGACATTAATGTGATTTTAAGAGTCGACGGGCGGAAAATAAAAAGACAGAAAGACGCGAAATAAACACGTCACATTTTTATCGGTTTGAATCCGACCCGTCTGTGATCATCACTGAGTGTTCACTGTTCAATCATTCTGCTGTTTGACGGTTGAAGTATCACATGACTTAATTATTACTTGTCATTGTGTGTGTGTGTGTGTGTGTGTGTGTGTGTATAAAGCAGCTGCAGTCTGTCCCTCTGTCTGTCTGTCAGTCCCTGATGACATCACTGTGGTTTGGTTAATGATGGAAGCGAAGCTGCAGGTACAGATGGCCGAGAGGAGACAGTTACCAGCAGCATGCACGCACGCACGCACGCACGCACGCACATGCACACACACACACACACACACACACACACACACACACACTGTGTCCCTGTAGGAGTGTATTAGTTGTGTTTGAGGTGTGCTGGGAGTTAGTTAACCGTCGGCTTGAGGGAATCAGCTGCATCATCATTAGTGTATCATAAGTCTCCACTTACAGTCTCTCTGATCAACCAAACAAACAAACAAACAAATACACAAACAAACAAACAAACAAATACACACACAAACAAACAAACACACACACAGTACTGTAGCTGATAAATTACAGATCGAAGCCTGATGATGCTGACTGATGACGTGTTGATGTCATAATTTAATTTTTGAAAATATAAAAAAAGCTTGAAAAATAAAAGTCAGAGTCAGCCCTCCTCCTAAAATCATACACACACACACACACACACACACACACACACAGAGTTATGTGATAAAGATGTAAATATGTTTGTCCATCTGTACACAGACGGCCATCAGAGGTTACTGTAGGTCACAGAGTTTTGCAAAGACACTAGAAACAGTACGGCTGTAACAACATGTGTTTGTATTGAACCGCTCAGTACGAGGCTTTCAGTTCACATAAACTGAATGATACGTTAAACTATTGTTACATTTGGAAAATGATATCTGCAGCAGTGTTTAATATAATGTTGTCAACATGGCAGCCTGCAGGATGGAACAGGACACGGTGTGATAACAGTCAGCTTTTATATCACAGTACTAGGCATGTGCTGGTATGAGATTTTGAGGGTATGATAACCGTGGGCAAAAATACCATGGTAACCGGTATTACCGCGGTAATATAATAATAATAATCATCATCATATTAAAACAGGCATCGTCCTATTTTCGTGCTCTAGACTTTAAAACGGTAGGCTAATATTCGTTTGACCGTTCATGAGCGACAGCACAAATCAGTTGTTTGAATGTGTCGGCTAATATAGACCTGTTAAAAGTTTAATAGAGCCGTTTCTTAACTTCACGATGGTGACTCCACCCAGCAGCTTGTTGCGGACGGCCAGCTGCAGGTGACGGGGGATGATCCGGGTCTTCTTGTTGTCGCGGGCAGCGTTTCCAGCGAACTCCGGGATCCCAGCGGTCAGATACTCCGGCACAGCTGCCAGGTAGACGGGGGCGCCGGCACCGACACGCTCCACATAGTTTCCTTTGTGCAGCAGCCTGTGCACACGGCCGACTAGGAACTGGAGCCCAGCACGGGAGGAGCGGGTCTTTGCCTTGGCTCTGGGTTTTCCTCCTGTCTGTCCGTGGCCACTCATTTTTCTGATGCTCTCTAAAGTCAGGACAAAGTGGGTTCTTCTGATAGCCAAAATGGTCCCACACCACCGACATCATCCTTTTTGCCTGTGGGAAAAGTTCAGCTTCGCCTCCTTCAGCCATGTTTGCAGTTTGCATGTGAGTGTATTTATACTGATGACTGACTAGTACTGACTGACTGAGGCTCTTCTGAGTTTTGAGCTCCTGAAGTTTCCATTTATGAAACGTAGGTTACACCGTCGGCCTTTACCGTCAGAACGGAAAATGGGCGGTTAGTGACACTGTGACATTCTTTTACCGTGGTAAATCGTGACACCGATAACAGGCACATGCCTACACAGTACACCTTGAAACCGATATATCGCTGAAACCCTAACTGTGAATTATGAGGGCGATGGTGAGACAGAGTGGTGGATAAAAACAGCCGAGGCCAAAGAACGATCTGCTGCACAACTACAGACTCTGGTCAGCAGCTATCGCAGTAGCACAGTAACATACACGACCCCCGAGCCGAAGCAGGAGCCACCGTGTGGTCAAAGACTCAACAGCAGCTAACCCAGCAGCACACACACCCTCCCAACCAGGGAACGAGAGCCGCTGCGCTGCTACAGCCTCTTATTCAGCAGCTAACGTTAGCACAAAGCTAACACCAACAGCACTGGTTGCTGATTGGTTCAGAAAGACTGAAAGGTTCGTTAGTGACAGCTGTTTATCTGACTGTGACATTTAACAGCGATGTTTTCATAAGTGTATCGTAGGCAACTGGACTTGTTGAAAACGTTTCACCTCTCATCCTCGAGGCTTCTTCAGCTGTAACTGACTGGTGCAGAGTCACAGGCTTTAAACTCTGTGTGGGTGTGAACCCTTACAGAGTCGCTGAGGTCACATGTAAGTCGTTGACCTACCCGGCCATCATGTGTGTGTTAGGGTCAGATGGGTCCAGGTGAGAATGGGTGTTAGGTCGTCTGGGGAGGGAACCCAAGACTGCATTGTAGGTGGGTGATAAGTGGTGTCGTAGACCTACAAAACGTCTTCATGAAACTCAAGCGAGTCACGTTGACTACGATGCAGCACTAATAATTACCATGACCTGGATGACTGAGAATCTTCACCGACAACAGGAACATTTATTCATGTATTTATTAGACTGACAGAGCTCAGAGAGCTCAGAGAGCTCAGGGGGCGGAGTGACCTCAGCGCTGACACACAGTGGACGAAAGAAACAGCACTGATACTGTGAGCTCTGATGTCAGTGGTAACGTAGGTTTTATACAGTAGACGAGGGGTTATGTTCAGGATGACTCCAGTGTGTCATCCAGCAGACTTTAGTCCAACCCAAAAAATCCTGGACACAGAAATGATTAAAAACAGTTGAACAGTCTGATGCCACAGTCTCAGTCCTCTCACATTTTCAACAAGTATTTTCCAACATGTTAAATGTGTTGGTGAGAAGAAATCAATGATTTTTCTTTACCCAGACTTTAATAAACCAGTTTCAGACCGACTGTAATTCCTGCTTTGTAGGCTAAAAACAAAACAAAAAACAAATTATATCAGTTTTCATACATTTAAAATGTTAAAATATAGGATTTTTTATTATTTTTTTTCTGTATCAAAGAACTTACCGAACCATGAATTTTGTGAACCACTACATCGAGGTGTAATGGTTCACAAAATTCATGGTTCGGGATGTTGATGATGTTGAAGTAGGAGCTGTTTGATCGCCCGTTACAGATACACTTTATAAGACGATAATATGTGCAGATGTTTGTGTGTAGGTTCCTCTGCTGCCCCCCAGTGGCCTAAACACAGTGATGCTTCTTAAACACAGAAATTAGTCGGAGTGAGCGCTCTGACTTTATAAACACGTCTTTACTGTCAGACACTTTAAACTTCACATTTCTCTCTGCACATTTATAGGGTGAATTATACATTCACACACACACACAACTCTTCAGCTCAGCAGTGGGTCTGTGTGTGTGTGTGTGTGTGTGTGTGTGTGTGTGTGTGTTAAATGTGACCCGTGGGCTCTGTGTGAAGTCTTGGTATAATTATCTGTGTAATTGTCGTGTATTTTGTAAAGTGCCAGATCATTTAATTCAGGATTAGCTCTTCTCACCTCCAACGGCCGAGGGCGGTGCTCTGCCTTCACCCCCCAACACCACCTATAACACACACACACACACACACACACAGTATCTCACTTTCTCTCCTGCTCTGGCGTTCTTTTTGTTCTGTCTCTGACACGTCTGGAGTTAAGGAGGGTATCAAGTCGCTCGCCCATCTGTGATGCAGACTGTACGAATCTGGCTGGGAAACACACACACACACACACACGCAGTTAAAATACACAGACAGTTAAAAAAATACACACTAATTTACATAAATACATATTTTTACCCAGGAGCGTTTAGACGCACTAACATATCCACAGATGTACGAATGTTCTGCTCATTTTGTGTCTAACGAGCTGAATAAAAAAAAACTCCACAAAAAGCTCTGAAGCCCCAGTGTGTAGGAGTTAGGACTCATTTATACTTCCTTTATGAACAAAAATAGATGTGTCTACTGCACTACACTACGTCTACGGTCTCCAGTGGTTCTGCTCTGTTTCAGCCGTGACTGTAAGCTTTCAGAAAATGTGCAAAATATGGACAAACTGACCGCAGAGTACGGACAGAAGGCTCCGCCTGTCTCCGTAACATTGAGCATAAATGTTTCAGTTCCAGTGAAGAGAAACTTTAATGCTTCATCATACAGTGATCATTTACAGCAGTGCTTTTCAACCCTTCTAATAATATAATATAATCAGTCTGTTTTCTTTAGTGTATAATCGTCTGAAAATAATGTTCTGGTTCCCTCAGAATGAGCTGTTTATATCTACACAGGGAGCAGGTCCTGGTCTACAGAGATCACCATGTTGCACCGCCATGTTTCTACAGTAGCCCAGAACGGACAAACCAAACACTGACTCTACACAGGAACTAGGGATGGGAAAAACTTAATACAGCAAAGTAATTATTAATATTACAAATACAAATTAAACTTTCAGTAGCCTACCAGAATGATATAATCAGTTGCTTTTTCAGTTCACTAGACAGAGTTTGCTGCAAATAAAATGGCTGAAGTGAGATGAATAAACACAATTTTATCGTATTAGATGAAACAGATTTTGACAAAGTTTTCCTGCTGAGACAATTTACAATTTAAAAAAGATAATTAATCGCAATTTATTTTATCGCATACTCAGCATATCACAACAATAATATTGTATCATGACCTCAGTATCATAATAATATATTGTGGAGCCTCTGATGATCCCTACCTCTTATAGGGACATTCACATTTTCACATTTTCACATTGACCACTGTAGTTAGCAGCCCCTCTGCCACAACAGCAATGGATAAACATAGCGGCTCGTCTGTGAACCGCACCAGAGTTTGTTTGTAACCAGACCGAGACCTTGTTGAAAAGGCTGTCTCGGTCTGGTTGCTTTGGTGCGCACCAGAGTGCATTGCTGTGTTCACATCTGCCCTAACGAACCGCACTGAGGGGGCAAACAAACTTGAGTTTGACTGAACTGAACCAAACAGGGCAGGTGTGACAGCACGCTAAATATATGAACTCTGGTACAAATTCAAGGTTCTTTGCCTTTTGAATCTGTAGTCACGTGATGGGGCAGTAGAATATAAATACATCATACGTGTAAATTGCAAAATCTCATGTTGATAAATAAATCTTTTACGCTTTAACCAGTTTTTTTGTGCTGCTGTAACATTTTAATCATTCTCTGGGCAACGATAAAGTTTTATTTATCTTATCTGATAATGTTTTTTCTGAGGCCTTGACGAAGCAGCCGTTAAAACTTCCATATACAGGTGTATTACACCTCGTCACGCTGTAGGCACACAAAGGTGATCTTCGTTTAACTCATGCGACCTTAAAAATTTGGCTGCACCTGTCATTAAAGACTCTTTTGTTGCTGAAGGGAAATAAGCGTGCTGCGCCCCGACTTTCCCAGAGATCTACAACGATTTACAGAGAAGTGCTGCATGTTCATCTTTGAATAGAATCATGAAATTGGGGGTTAGCTTAGCATGCAATTAAAATTCTTTAACGGCGTGATGGACGGGTGTATAATGAAAAGTCACACCCTGGTTCCTCGTTATCCACTTTCACACACAGGCTGCTGGGTCGAGTCCAGAACAAATGAGGTGTGTGCTGTCAGTGTTTACATACCACACAAATACATGATTGGCATTTGGCAGGTAGCTTCCTCTGCTAAAAGAATTACACACACAAACACAGTAATAACCTAAAGTGACAAAGAGATGGTATTTATGTGACGTACAAAGAGGAAACATGCTGTCTCATGCTCATTGAGTACTGAGGCTGCAGTGTTGGGAAGGTTCCTTTGGAAATGTAATAGGTTACAGATTACTAGTTACCTTATTTGAGTAATGGCACTGTTTTTTATTTACTTTATTGAAATAATGTAAATATTACATGAAATTACTTTTTGATGACTTTTCTAACAAATGTTTTAAACAGGCAATAAAGCTGTAAAGTACGGTGGCCCTGAAAGGTCACAGCACTGCAACTTAAGAAAACACATGCAAAAAGACAAAACACAAGCAAATTGAGAAAACATTTTCATCAATTTGACAACACGTGCGCAGCATTTAGAAAACGCACTGCAAAGACCACAACACATTAGAAAAACGCGATGCAAAGACCACAACACGACACATTAGAAAAACGCGCTGCAAAGACCACAACACAACACATAGAAAAAAGCGATGCAAAGACCACAACACAACACATTGAAAAAAGCGATGCAAAGACCACAACACATTGAAAAAAGCGATGCAAAGACCACAACACAACACATTAGAAAAAAGCGATGCAAAGACCACAACACATTGAAAAAAGCGATGCAAAGACCACAACACAACACATTAGAAAAACACGCTGCAAAGACCACAACACAACACATTGAAA